AAAGATATTTTATCATGGAAAAATTAAGTTTGGACGGATTAGGCCATTTGTTATTATTTAAATATATTTATTATGGTGCAGTAAAAATTAATGATAAAAAAATATTTTCACATTTTCAAGGTTAATGGTTATAGATTGAAAGAGGATATAGAAAAAATTATGTACTCTTAGGATGATGATGATTAAGTGGAGGAGGATGAGAAATATTATGTTTAGAAAATTCTTTATGCTTAGGCTAGAGAGAGTAGAGGGAGGGAGATAAAGTGAATAATACTCTTATTTTTTAGCATGTTTTTCTTTTATTTCTAATACATTTCTTTGCCCTAGGGGAGATCCCATTGATGTGATAATTTATCATGATTATAGTTCTTAGTTTTTTTTTTTTTTTTTTTTTTTTTTTTTTTTTTTGACTTTGAGAGCCAATTCTATTGTGATGTTAGATTGGTATCTTAAGCAACCTGTATTATTTATTTAGTTTTTTATGTATCACATGTTTTGAGACTTTTATCATTTATATGAAATCTTGTGTTATTAACTATATTTTAATTGTGTTAGTATTTACTTTTGATTTAATTCCCCTTAAGCTTACACTATTATATTATCTTTCATTAATATCTGCACTTTTGATTATTCATCTAACTAGAATAAAAAAGGAAAATTAAAATAATGTAAAATTACTATAATAATAAAACCCTATATTATAATTTAAATGAACACTGCATTATAATTTGTAGATTAGTAAACTTAATAATGAACTAACTTAGATAATTTGCGTTATTGACTTAACTTGAATTTATAAGTTACATATTTATACATTGATCTTTAAATTAAAAGATGAATAATTAAGGTTAAAGAATAGATGTGTGTAGCTTAAAATTAGAAATCCTAGTAACTTGAAATTAGAACTAGTGATTTTATTAAATTCTTAAATTAAAATAATTAGGATTGTAAAAGGATAAAGATAAAACTGATATTCAAGATCACTAATTACATACTCTATAAAAAAAGAAGAAAATAAATATGAAAAGAATTGTAAAAAGAAAGAAAAAGAAGAAGAGTACATTAAAAATTAGTTTAAATTAAAGCTTAAAGGCTGACTATAATCTTATACATAAATTTACAAAGGATAAGATAAAAGAACTAGAATAGATATTGGTGAACTAATGAAATTTTATTCTTAATTATAAACTTATGAAATCTTTAAGCTACTTTATTCATTTCAAAATTCAATAGTCAATAATTATAGTGATAATACATAAATTCAAAATATGCAATGCTAAGGGTGACATGTTAGGATAATTATTAGGATATTTTATATACTAGAATTATAAATTTATTCATTTAAACTACTTCTAAGCTATGATGTATTATCCCATATTTTAGTAATTTTAAATTATAATTTTTTTTCTTTAGTTATTGAATTAATCAAAAGTGCAAATTTCTTTATTTGTATGAGGACAAGTAAGAGTTTAAGCTAGAAAGAATTTGATAAGTGTAAATTAAGTACTATTTATTATTTTTGAATTTCAATGAAAATGTATTATTTTAGTTATTATAAAGAAAAAAAATAAAAAAATAGTTAACTTAAAAAGGAACATTCAGGAGCATTGTGCCAGAGGAAACATTGCTACTACACTACATTCAATATTACAAAGCATCACTTTTGGACATTGCAGTGTCATGCTCTCTATTTGTAAATGCTGTAATAACATCACATCCAGTAGCACAACATTAAAGGCATATTCACATCAAAAAAGTAGCTTGGTAGTGCTCAGTTCTCAAGGATATGAATGTCGTAGTCCCTCACATTACAATGCCTCAGCGCTATTTTTTCCACTCTGGCACCACAATGCTCAAATTTCCATAAAACTGCTATGATGCAATTTTAACTTCTAAAGGCCACATTATTTTAGAGAAAGATCACAATTCTTCACTTATTAATCATTCCACATCATAAAACACCATGGCAGAGTAAACATTTCAACACCGAGACACTAGTTTACTTTTGTGCACTACAACGCCACACTTCCAAGTGCTGTAGTACTATATACCTTTTTTGATTTGTTAAAGATAGATGTTCTATTCTATTTGCAGAGGAGTTAATTCACTTGTGTAAAACTTAGTGCTTTTTAGTGTGATTATGTAGTACTATCTTAGAGAAGTACGAGATATAACATATTGGAATATTGAAAACATCTTTAAAATATTAATGAAGATAATTCATTAATATTCCATATTCCATTTACACCATAAATCCAAAACCATAGAATTTAGCTATACATGAAGAATAAGTGAAGCAATCTCATTTTCTTTAATTACACAAAAGAAAGAAAGTGCAAAAGAAAAGATATCACCAAGTGGGTTTAATGATCTCATCTACACTCCTCCTTGAACTTACAGAATTGCATACCTAAACATTAACCTAACACTCTTATGAAGTGGCTTTAGTACTCCCTAGATTCCCTTAGTTGTCACTCCTAAGAAAATTGGAGAGAAGCATTGGGAAAACTGAAATTAACTATGTAACTGAATGACCTTACTAACATTACAAGTAGAATATTTATAGAAAAACATAGAAAATGGATCCTAGTGCTATTACGCTCAAGATACATGTGTTACGGTGCCCATAAAATGAACTAATTTCATTGTGCTAAAGGATTTCCTCCATTGTAGTGCTTGTTGATATGGATGCACTATTTAGTAAATAAATACATCACTTCACTGGCAGATTGTGTCCTAAATGGTTGCAATTGTAGTGTTGCAGCACTTCTAACACATGAGCATTACGACATCCACACCAATCCCCTTAATTTGGTGGTACTAGAAATTTGCATCGTGATGTTGTGAAAATAAAGATTGGTGTTTGCAACACTGACTCCTCTGACGTTGCGATGTTGTTAAACAGATACTAAGTGTTGCCATATCCATAAGCGCTCTGATGGTGTCAAGGGTAGTGTCTAATCCTGCAATACTAGAAATATTTGTACCATTCCTGCATTTTTTTTCAAAAAACATAACTAAAATAAAATAGTTTCACTAGTAATTTAACATTTAAAATATAACATTATTTACACTCATCAATTCCTCCCTAGCTTAAACTCTTTCTTTTCCTTAAGTAAGTAAACCTTTTATAATTTTGATTAAGTGATTAACCAAAATAAAAAAAATGACAATCTAAAATTACTAAAATATAAGATAATATATCACTGTATATAATTAGTAAAAATGAACAAGGCTATACTTCTAGTTTGGAAAAATACTAATAGTAAAACTAATAAGTTATTCTAGTTATATCCCAAATAAAAAATAGAATTTATATATTTAATCATTAACTTTTAATTATTGAAGTGAATAATTAAGTTTTAATGATTAGATATGATTGAAGTTAAAATTTTACTTTAATTTATTCTTCATCCCTTATATTAGCTCTTCCATCCTATTCTTTTCAGTTTATGTTTAACTTTGTATTTCTAATCTAAAGCCTTCATTGATATCAATTTTTGTATGTACTCATATTTCTCTTTTGATTCATTTCTTTTTGTTTTCCTTTTCTTCTAGCACTATTTTATAGTTCTTTTTCTTTTTCTTTTGTGGAGTATATAATCAATTATTTTGAATATTAGCTTAAGATTTAAACCTTCACACAAACTTAATGATTTAATGTAATGATTTGATGAGATTACTCATTCCATCTTAAGGTTAGCTATAATTTTAAATTTTAATATACGAATATCAAAATTTTAATACTAATTATTCATCTTTCAATTTTAAATGTTATTCATAAAGGAATAGCTTATAAATTCAAATTAAGATAATAGCTCAAATGATTGATTGAGTTAAGTAATAGTTTTTTCAAACTATGTAGTGTAAACAAAGTTCATTCAAACTAGGATCTAGGGTTTTATTAATATCCTAATTTTACATAAATTTTAATTATCATTTTTATATAGGTTAATTAAATAATCATAATATAAAAATAATTGGAGGATAATAATAATTTAAGCATGAAGAGAATTTGCTAATATGTCAATAAACACATAAATAAACACTACAAATATATGCTTTCATAAGAATGATAAAAGGAATATAAAACATATGTTAAACCCAAAATCATATATAACATTAAAAGTTTGTTAGGGTTGTTAAGCTCTTATGAACTAGCCAAAGGCTAACCAAGATTGTGTGGGGGTATACACATAGCATTTCAATTCAGAAGAAATACGGACAATTCGAAAATTTCCCAAAAATCGGGCAGCACAACGGCAGTATACGGAATTTACACAAAAATTCCTGCAAAGAAAATTTACCGAATTCGCACAGAATACAGATATCAACATTTCAGAACATTTATTCTACTGCACAGATAAATTCCAATTTCACAGAAAAATCTGGTCGACTAAAAACACAGTCGAATCAAAAATACCCGGACGAAAATCTTCAAAATATAGTCAAAACGTGCACACCCGGCACGGCAACGATATACAAAAAGTTACGCGGTAAAAACTGAACCGATCAAAAGATACGGACGAAAATCATTAACGAAAACGAAATCCGGACAGAATATACCGCCAAACACGACGGTTCTGAAAATTGAGAAAGGCGGAATGTGCCTTACCTCGAGCACAGCAATTTCCTCAACAGCCACTTCGGGCGAAAACGGCTCCGCGTCGTCCGAAAATCCGCTTTTCCACTTTTTCCTTCGTTTTTCTCTCTCCTCAGCTTTTTCTCTCTCTTCAAAATATCTCATTTCTATATATATCCAGACTGATCGTCCCGGACGAACGAGCTTCGTACCGGACGATCCATGAAGAGAGGAATTCCGTCCAGACGAAAAATGACATATCGTCCCTGGCGAAGGGTTCACGGGAGAATTTTCGTCCAGACGATCCTGATTTCGTCCAGACGAACCATACAGCCAAAACTGATTTTCTGCACAACCTGTACCGATCGTCCCGGACGATCCAACTTCGTCCCGGACGAACCTGGAGCAAAAACTGATATTACAACTCTCTTAATCCAGGGCAATCAATAATCTCCAAAACAGCATGCATGGTTGAAAGTTGTTCATCTAAAGAGAGTTTAAGTTTCGGACATCTTTTGAGCTTCAATTCCTCAAGAGAATGAAGGCTTTGCAGACCTGGTATTGATTTTAGCTTCCAACACTCTTCAAACCATACAAAATGCAACTTGGAAGGAAGTTTCTCCTCTGCCGAGATCATGAGGTTATAACACTTTATAATTTCCAACTTTTCAAGCCTATGCAAACTGCATAGCCCATGTAATGTTATTATTTCAGGGCATTGTTTAACCAACAGTCTACAAAGCGACGATGATTGAAATATTTTTATACTTTTTAAGTTAGCACAATCAATGATGGAAATACTTCGAAGACATGGGAGATCTCTATCCAGCACACCACCTGATCCATCCCATTTATTACATCCTTCAAGGGTTATATCTTGTAACTTAGTGTATGCAGGATCACCAAGCCACAACGAGAACTGTACCCCAGGGTAATCATATATCTCTAATTTTTTGAGGTTGTTGTGAGGCCGCAATGCATCAAGTTTCGCCTTTTCCAACTCAAAACTATTTTTCTCTACTTTGAGAAATGGATTAAAAGATATGTGAACATCAAATGAACGAGAACGATACATGCTATTATGCCAATTTATGCATAGTCCCCAAATGTGCTTCTTCCTATTAATATTTGCCTTCTTGATGCAATCAACATCAGGTGCATATCTTATATTATTGATACAACAACTCCCTGTAAGGCTTGCTAAGTCTTCTATCTCACCTAGTCCACCACATTTACATCTTTCATCCTCCATCACTAATACATGTTTTAAAGTCTGGAGAAAAGTTAACTTGCTTAACCCGCATGGCATGTAAGAACCAAATGGTAGAATCAAATGTCGAAGGTTGATGAGATTTTTTATGCTTGTTGGTAACATTATAGCTAGAGAAAAACCAAGCAAGTCCAACACATGCAAATTACAAAAACTGTGTAATGAATTGAATAGGCTTGAAAGATTAAATGTTTTTAAACGAAAATCCCTTAAAGTACGAATGCAAAGATAGTGTAAATGCTTCAATGAGGCAATTGAACCAAGAAAGTTTGATAGGTCTAAATCAAAATGATCGATTTGGATATGCACTGCTCGTAAGCGTATTGAATCCAAAAGCTGAAAATCATCGGTTGTCCTCTGGCCATAATAAATTAGAGAACGAAGAGCAACATGCCTGCTAAGAAATGGGTAAACTAAAGAGCCTTTTAGTGCTTCTTTATTTGTTAATTGATCATGTAAAGCTATGTGACGAACATTATTTGATATGCATTTATTTTGTTTGCTAGCCTCCATATTCATTGTAATGAACTCATTGCCCGAAACAAAACCTGCCAGATCAAAAATCAAGTCATGCATGTTAAAAGAGTCCTCAAATTCCGTTGCTTGAAGAAATGATCTCCCCAAGAGTTCATCAAAATACCCTCTTCCTATCTCCTCCATAGTTTGGCCTGTTATTTTTGATTGGATATAACCCTGTGCCATCCACAACCATACTAGATGATTCTTTGAAGGTAACTTATTTTTAGGAAACATTGAGCAATACCTAAAGCATGGTTTCAAGTGAATCGGCATCCTTTGGTAACTTAGCTTAAGAGCAGGCAAAATTTCATTTGATCCTAAATCCAAGTCCCAAAGCTCACTTTCTAAGATGCTCATCCATGCCTCTTCATCTCTTTCAAATCGGAGATGGCTTCCAAGTAGTTTTATAGCCAAAGGTAATCCACCACACTTGTTTACGATTCTCCTGCCAATCTTTATCAGATTTTCATCATCACATAATGCACGTTGTTGGAACAAACACCAACCTTGCTCTTCGGAAAGACAACCCAAGTGTAAGATATTTATAGTCCGGATGACATCCGCAACCTTTTTATTCCGTGTTGTCAACAAAATATTCACAATACCTGCATTGTGGAAGGGGATTAGGAGGGGCTCCCATAGACATTGTTTCTCATTCCACACATCATCCAACACCAAAAATATTCTTTTAAATTTCACTAATTCTTTCCTTATGGAATCTTGAAGATAGTCGAATCTAACGTCCTTCTCATATGGCTTGTTAGTTATAGATCCATATATTTCTTTGGTTAATTTCACAAGATCAAAATCCTCAGAAACATAGATCCATAATCGGAGATCAAAATACTGATGAATTTTAGGATCATTATAGATGAGTTGGGCGAGCGTTGTCTTCCCCACACCTCCCATACCAACTATTGGAATGACTGTAATTTTATTACTCACTTGTAGGTCTGAGAGCAATAGCCTCACTATCTTCTCTTTCTCACTTTTTCTTCCAATTATACTTGATTCATCGACAAGAGAACTAGTAAGCCGAGAATTCTGTGCACTGACAATTCGTCTCATGCCATCTTCCTCTCTTAAATTGAGTGCCTTTCGATCCCTTTCAAGCTCGTTGAATCTTTCTTGAATCTCCCTTAGCTTCTCAGCCATGCCATCAGAAATTGTTGGAACTTGAGTTGAGGAGAAGGCTAATATACTATGACCTTCCACCTGCTCATTCTCATCATGATTTTCATCATCACCTCGCTTGCACTTGCCACAGTGGTCGGACTCTTCGGCTGCTCTGGCTTCCATTTGTGCTACCAACACATCATACTCATACTCGTCGATTACATCATCAATGTCATAAGCCAAGAGCCTGAGCTCTGAAAGCCATAACATCACAAACCTGTCTTGTATCTCCCTTTCCTCGGCATCTTCAAGCACTGCTTTGATCCTCGGCAGCATTCGCATTATCCTCTGAAAGTCATCTAAAGCATTGCCTCGTGTAGGTTCCACTAATGAAGATGAAGATGAAGATCTATCTAGAAGAGCCAACAACGCTGACTTCGCCCATCTGTTGAACATAGCAATAATGTCTGCCATGGCTTCGTCCAAGATTAGAATCAAATATCCCTGCCATCATTAAATTTGTATGGTAAGATATAATCTTCCATTATGTTAGAAGGAGAGTTGAGAGAGATTTATGGAACAAAAATAGTTTAAAACACTTGTTGCTGCATAAACAATCAATTGAATGCAAAGAGATAAGCTAAAGCCAATTCTGTAGATTCTCGTTGCTTTCTATGCATACAAAAAACTATATAAAATCAGAAATGAGGATTGAAGGCCAAAAACAAATCAAATCACAAATCATACTCATAGTAGCACAGAAGAATTATATGAGAACAAAATTAAAACTTAACGCCAAGCTGAATGAACTAATTACTTCTATGGATAAGGAGCAATAAATAAAAAATTCAGCAGGGAAGGTAGCTCTTCAAAGCTTCAAATTTTTGAAGTATTTGATCTGATGAGGTTTGTGCAGACAGTCTACAAGAACAAAATTAGATGAGGATAAAATTGCAGAGGTGAAGGAGCTGATTACCTCAGTCTCTGTGAAGAACGACTCAATCAATAATTGAAGAGGAAAGGCAGCTCTTTTTTTACAAGCTCAAATTATCTTTGGCATGATATGGTTTTGCTTTCATAAAGTAAAAGCAGGAAAAGGACAGCGAAGAATAATTTTGATATGGTTTTGCTTTCTTTTTTTTTTATTATCACTGAATTAAGTAGAGATTGAGAGTTTATTTTTAATTTTATGATTTTTGTATATGAGGGAGATACGTTTTGAGATTTACCCACACACTCTCTACTTAATTTTATAATTTTATAATTTTGATATATAGGGAGATCCAGATATTCAACACGGAGGAGTTTCATTTTTTATTTCATAATCAACTAAGTATTTTTTTTAAAAAAATATTATTATATTTATCTTGCAACAAATCAACTAATTAAAATTATAATTTATTCAAAATTCTTAAAGTACATACATTTTTTTTTTTGGACATTTAGGCAAATTAAGATAAACTCATGCACACATCACATACACGAGACTCGAACCTAAGACCTCTTAGTTGGTAGCATAAGCTCCCAACGAACAGACCAAGATAAGCTCTGCAAATACATACATTTTTAAAACTTTTCAAGTACTTGGGTTAGCTGGATGCCATTAGAGACCCTTTTCCACCCCACTAAAACTTGCCCCCCTGCTTTTAGTCACATGGAAAGATAAAGAATGATATAATTTGTCTGTCGGGCAATGAAAACATTTTCCAAGGAAAACATATGTCTAATTAGTATTTTCAAGCTAACAAATGAGTTTAAAAAATGATCATTCTTATATGCAAGCTTGTTATATTGTTCATGAACACTTTAAACAAATAATTTAAATCTTAACGTTTATATAAAGATGAAATGAGCATAAATAAAATGAATTGTTATCAGCTTCTAAGGCTTAGTTTAGGACGAATTTTTATTATATTATTTTTCAAATCATACTTAAAATATCTGTTTGGCTATAATTTTTTATTGATTTTAAAAAATATAAATACTAAGAATTTTTTTCTACAATAATTAAAAAAAGCAATTTTTTTTATTATAATTACCTTTATAAAAAGTTTCACCTATCTCAAACCAATTTTAAAGTTTAATGAGTTGTAGTGGCAAAGGATCTCTAATGGCATCATTATATTATCTTGCTCATCTAATTGATAATTACAATATGGCCATAACTATCACTACAGGCCTCTATTGGATCACATGTTTGGAGAGGAGGCCCTATTGAAACATAAATTGGAATATTTAGCATACAGCAAATAAACTCAATATATAAGAAAATAATAAGTTCACAATTTAATAGATCCATATTTTACCTAATTAATATAACATTTTCCTTGAGCTGCAGGATATTTTATGATATATTTTTTTTTATTTTGTAAGATAACTATCATATGACATGCTTATTAAAATATTAAATATAATTAATTTTCTTGAATAATATTCTATTTAAAATGATAAAATTGTATACACATATTAAATTCAATTTTTATGTTCGAAATACGGAAATAAATCCATTTTACACTCTAAAATGCAATAAAACTTCAAAATGACATAATTCATCTTCAATCGAACTTCATTTCTCACTTGTTTCGCGGGCTTCCTGTGAAGGTAACCATCTCTCTCCTCTTTTATGTTCTTTTCTCCTCTTTACCACTCTTCTTAGGCAAATTCGCAAGTCATGATTTTTAGGCATAAGTGAACAGTCTGATGCCAATATTGCCATCGGACTATTCACCTACCGAATTTTGGCATGAGATCTGGAGTTTGAATGCAGCGAATGGAGAATGACATGCGGTGGTATATAGTTTGGTTGGAGATGATCTTATACCGTGCCCCCGCTGTATAGAAACTCAAACTCTTAACTATCGAAATATTGTTTTCTTTGGCCTAAGGGCCTCACGAATTTATCATATTGGTGTAACTTTCTAGTAGGTCACATATCCCAGAATTTCTTTGGGATGAGTACGCTTAAATGCAGAGTTTCTTATGAAAATTCTAACCATTACACCAAAAGGCGCCTCGATGTTTAAGATTTAGCTTTCTTTTACTTAAAGGGTTTCACAATCTTCCTCACTTAAGTAACTGACATCCTCGTTAGCATCTATATCCCAAAATTATCCACTTGACTGGTAGGACTTTAGAGGTGTCCCATACAATTTTAAGTGGTGGCTCCCATCACGTAACACTTTGTCCCATACAAGACTCAAGAAGTGGCTCCCATAGAGTAGCACTTTATCTTGTATTGCACTTAGCTCCCATCTTCCGGCTGGTATATTTCTCTGATGCCATTTATAAGAGCTCAAACTATTAAATATCGAGATATTATCCACTTTGGCCTAGGGACCTCACAGTTTTATCTTGTTGGTGTAACTTCCCAGTAGGTCAACCTTCTCAGAATTGCTCTGGGATGAGCATGCTTAACTGTAGAGTTTCTTATAAAAATTTCAGCCATTACACCAAAAGACTCCTAGATGTTTAAGAGTTAGCTTTCTTTTACTTGAGAGGTTTCACAATATATATATATAGTTGCAGAGAAACAGAACATAGATATAATTACAATAAAGCCTAGTTATGACAGATATGTTTACAGCCTCTAAGAAGATGCACACAGACGTGAGAAATGTTTCAAGCTTGAAGACTTAGTTTTTGTTCAGTTGTGTAAAGAATGCCTCCCAGCTGGCAACCACTACAAACTTGGCAAATGAAAGTGGGATCCATTTCCTACTAGCAAAAAGATTAACGACAATGCATATGTTGTTGATCTGCCAACAGAGTTTAATACTTCTTACACATTCAACATTGCTGATATCTATGTTATATACCACCAGATGAATCAGCCAGTCCAGAGTTTTTTCATGATGGAGGCGTATGATGCGAAACATCTTTGCTTATAGTATACTTAAGCAGCATCTTATCTAGTATTAGTTACTTAGTTCGATTATCCATCATGTGCTCCACTATCGTATATTATTATAGTTAGATTTATAGTACTCGTTCTACTTTATTACATGTCTGTCATGTTTTAGTATGACGGATAGGTTGGTTTATACATGATCAACCTATAGCTGAAGGCAGTTTTTAGAGAATTATCTTATAATGCATTATTTCCTGTTACTGTTCTATTGTGCTTGCTTTCTCTGTATCTAAATTCATTGCTGGTTTGGACATTTGTTGGACTTATGCCCTGTTGGAAATATCTGAAGCATTTGAGTGTGCTTGGTTTGCTGTAGGGGTTTTCCCTCAATGGAGCTGTAGTTTTGGCTGGAGCCTTTGGCACTAAAGAGTTATTCGGCTGATGTGTTGCAGGAGTAGTTGTAATGGTAAGGGGAATTTGATGTAGTATTGGGAGCTGGGAAATTGTTCTTGGCATTGTCTTTATAAGAATCAATATAATTCTTGGGAACAGAATGGCTATGGTAATGGCGCTGTAATTGTGTTTCGGCCTTCAAAGAAAAATTCACCACTTGAGATAATGTTCAAACATAATTAAGCTCAAGCTTATCCTTTATGAGATCTTTCAATCCACTAATATACCGAGCAACAAGGTTGTTTTCAGATTTATGAAGGTTATTTCGAGCGCTCAAATGGTAGAATTCTTCCTTGTTTTTGAAGGAACATTGTTGATATTGTAAATGCAACATTTGTTTGTAATCAGTTGGTAAGAAATGACCTTGAAGCAATTATTTCGTCCGGACCAATCTACAAACCGGTCCTCGACCTTCTCAATGGCAAGACTATAACAGTTGGAGCCACCACGCACTAGCACCACCTTCAAGCGGCAAGCCACATATTTAACCTGTTTGTCAGGAATTTCATATACTCAAAGAATGTCTCGACAGCTTGTTCCCAATCGAAGGTTTTAATGCATATAAATCACAGGATTTAAAATGAAATTCAATATTGTGGTGTCAATTGTTCAATTCCCTAACTACGGGTTTCATTGTAAGTTCTGATCAAAGTTATAATCAAATGACTTTTATTTTAAATTTTAGTATTTGAATTTATAATTAATGACAAAAAGATAAAATGAAAGATGTATATTAAAAAATATATATCATAACCTAAAAGTTTAAGGCTTATGATCTATATAATGTCTAGTATGTGCTAGGACTTATGGGTGGTCAACCTTATTATTACTTTTTAGGTTTTAATTTTAATTTTAAATTTATTTAATTTTGTACATTAATAATTTCGATTTAAATGTTAGTTTTTTGTCATCTTTTATTCTACTTTTAAATAATTTATAAAGAAACTTTTATTTATAGACTTAATGTTACTTATTTATTAAAATTTTATAAGCTCATAAAATTTTAAAAATTTTAATTCATATTTTTCTGATTTATATTAATTTTTTAGTGAAATTGTTAATTTCTAAATCAGTTATGGAACTTATTTAATTTGAAAGTGAAGATGTGATGTCAATTGAGATATTTATTTAGTTTATTTTTTGTTGTGATTTTATAAGTTTATAAAAATTTATTTTGTATTTTTCTAATTTTTTAATGAATTTATCAATTTCTGTGCCAATGGAGGTGAAAGTGTATAATTTATTGAAATTTTTATTTAATTTATTATTCATTATGATTTTATGGGCTTATAGAAATTGAGTTTATTGATTTTTTATTTAATTTTTCATTGTATAGGTATTTTGCTTTTATCATTCCAAATTAATTTTAATTTGTTGATTTTATTATTTTAAGCCTAGTTTTTTCTTTTAATTATATATTAATGCGTATGTTTTACTTAGATTTACTTAATTTTATAATAGATTTTTTTAGTGTTTATTTTAGTATGATTAGATTAAATTAATTTAATTTAGAGCTTATTTGAATATAATCTAAATTGATTTGATTTAAACGTAAAGTGTGTGATTGACATGGGCTGGATAAAGTAAGAGTTCGAATAGATAAATGATCGGAGGATAGAAACTAATCTAGCTACTAACTGAGTATAACGTGTCCGATCAAAATCTCATGATTTCATTGTATTGGGTTCGTCAGTGCCCCTAATATATTTAATCAAGTGGCGACCAAATGATCATTGTTAATATTATTGAGCCCTACATTGGGTACCCATACCCACACCCACTAACATACCCACCCATACCCAATGGGTATAGGTGAGTATGTGTATCCACATGGACTCATGGTTGAGTACTCAACATCTGGGTATAAACTAAATTACATTGCTAATCACCGTACATCATATATTGTCGCAATTTTCACTACACAATGCACATTATTGAACAATATTAAGGCCCTAGTCAACATCATGAAGTGGTGGGGGATCATGGGCATCAAGACGTTCTCAATCATGGAACACATCGCGTGCTCTATTCTGTGCATTTCGACCGCCAGTGCCATGTTAGAATATCTTTTCGTACGCCGGCAACACACTAATTGAGAAGCGCAATAGTTTAAATCCCGATCACATGAACGATCTATTGCTCTATTGATCGAACGATGACTTGTGTGACTAAGGTCAGGCAACACATGGGTATGGGTGGGAGCGACGTCTTGAAAGCCACCATGGGTGGGCATGGGTGGGTGAAGCCCGCCCATAGGTGCCTGACCAAGACGCCGTGCAAGGCTTCGGTTAGTAATCATGAGTTACTTCATTAAAGGGAATCTTGTAGACCAAGAATGTGAATCTAGACCTAGGCTGATAGATGGGGAGAGTGCTCAGGTATGTATAGTGGACTTACATCTAAGTTATCTACTCTAAGGTGTAAACCTCATTCCATATGTAGACTCACAAGGAACATGTCATGATGCACATCAATAAAATTATTGGAGATTGATGATTGTACAATGTCTAGGTCATCTACATATATTCAACATCTCCTATAATGATAACATGTGAAATGGATCGTACAATCAAAATTATCCCAACTTATAATTGGGAATGTGATTGTCCCTACAAACCTTAATCGATGTAGTATGGGGGTGTCATAGCATAACTAATGTAAATCGTGAACTTAGTATTTCACAATACTATCAAGATAGTATATATGTAAACATATCTAGTTTTAGCAAATGTCTATCAAGGTAGTATATGCAAATACATTTAGTTTCATAGAACTTACATTCAACAAAACAAAATTTATGATATTTAATTGCAATTAGAGAGTCACATTTTATAATTTATTAAGCTAAAACTGCTGTATTTTTTTTCAAAATTACTTAGATTTTTGGTGAATTTGTCGGTCGGAATCAAGATTATTCATTTGTGGTATCATTATTCTATTATATTTTCTTTATTATTTTCAATTTAGCTATAACTTTACTCAGTATGAACATGCATGATTTATTTAGATTTGCTTAACCTTATATTTGATTTTAATTTATGATGGATTTGCTTTAGTATGATTTAATTATGAAATTAAATTGTATAAACATTAAAGGTTTTTCGAATTTGATTTGAACTTTGTTAAATTTTAAGATTTTAATTTGATTTTGCTAAAAAGCTGATAAAAAGAAAGTTGTCAGAACGAACTCTTCGGAATACCTTTTTTTGTTCTAGTTCAAAATTTTGAAAGCAACCACTACAAAATTGTCATGAAGAAAGCCTTAAGACAAGTCACTTTCCTTAATTATATTTTAATTTTTATGTTTTACATATATTTACTTAATTTTATTATTTATTTTACTTTAGTAATTATTTTAGTATGATTACAGTAAATTAATTTTATTTTATGGATTATTTGAATATGATCTAAATTTATTTGATTTAAATATAAAATGTGTGACTGATGTAGGTTGGATGAAGTAAGAGTTCGAATAAGTAAATAATTGCATGATAGAAACTAAACTATCTAGTGGACATAACACCCCCAATCAAGATTCCGTGGTTACATTGTCTTTTCTAGTCGGCTTCATTGGTGCCCTTAATCTATTTCGTCGAGTGGGGACTAAATGATCCTTGTTAGCAACTATGAGTTAGCTCAATTAAGGAAACCTTATAGTTTCCTCGACCATCTCCCAGCCACCGACGGACACCGGGCTTCGACCTTCCGCTAGATTTCTACTCAATGCTGCACTTCTGCCAATCGTCGAACTTTCATCGAACTTCTACCCGACGCTGAAGTTTCGCCCGTCGCCAGACATCCGCCAAACTGCTACCCGTCACTGGACTTTCGTCGGACTTTTACTCAATGTCGGACTTCCGCCCGTCGTCAGATTTATACTTGACACTAGACTTCCACCCGACTACAGTCCTTCCGACCTCAGTCGCTAGACAACAGTCTTTATTACCTTGGTCATCCGCCGACTATGATTCTTCCGACACCCATCACCAGACAATGGTCATTCCTACCTCCGTCGCCAAGCAATGTTCTTTCATAGCCCCGTCACCCACTGACTATTGTCCTTTCAACCATACAAACATGTCAATAATAATACTTCTAATTTCCATCATGTAACACACTTTATATGATGTATATTTGTCACATCAAGTCAAGGCCTTCCCTCTAATGAATGACATTATTTGTAATCAACTGCAAATATTAATGGATTCATTCAAATTGGGCTAGGCCCGTGGTTTTTCCCCTTTTTAGAGTTTTCCACGTAAAAATCTTGGTGCCTTTAATAAATGCTATACTCTCTCTCTTATCTGATTACGTGTTGGATCTTCGTACCCACTAAGGCATCAAATTTTATATTTCTTCACAGCCACAAATATTTCAAGATGCAACAAAGCTTGTGATCTATATAATGTCAAGTATGTGCTAGAACATATTGGTGGATATAATGTGCCAGTCAAAATCTCATGATTTTATTGTCTTGAGTTCGTTAGTGCCCCCTAATCTATTTAATCGAGTGGCGACCAAATGATCATTGTAAATATATCTAGTTTCAGAGATCGAACTTATATATTAAACTGATGCAATATAATTATTTGTGCCCTATTTTATTCAGGCTACAGGTCATATTGTCTTGCCATTTTTATGCTTTAAGATAGTCATTATTAGTTGGGCTTGAATCTCATTTAATATTTTTTTATAGATTTTTTTAGTTATCTACTTGTATTTTCATAGTCACATTTTTTTTTATTTATTGTTGCCGAACAGGTCCGTTGGTGATCTACCAAAAATATCGATGGCCAAATCCAACAAAAACAAAATCATCAATTCATCATAGATATCGACATTTAAGCATAATATATGATATGATGGAAATCCACTAGAAACTTGTAGCTGAGATAAAAAGAAACAGACTCTTGTATCAATTATTCTACATTAAAATAATATATAAGTAATAAGAAATACTCACAACATAAGCTAATATTTCAATATTGTAGAAAAATATTCTTAAAAAGTTCAACAGTTCTACAATTATCAAACACTCATGCAATAAATCGTAGAGTTTCTTATACATTCAAATACCAACAACACAAATTAATTATAATAATAGAAAATCTACTTAGAATCTATATCTTCACTCTCCTCTATTACTATAGGTTGTTTTTCATTGAATTGCTCCTCATTCTCTGAAGCTTTTCCATAATCTAAGTATGCTACATTTGCATGTCTGCTTGTGATTTTTGGATATACTCTTGCACTGCTTTCCGGGTAGCAACTTGATAGCTTACCATGCCCTCTTGAGTGCTTGCTGAGAAGCTTAAGCAAGCAACTTGATAGTCGGAATAACCATTTGTGATTCCTTCGAGGATCCTTGGCTAGCGCCAGCTTCGTTTTCTAATTGTAATATGTCCCTGCTCAACACAAAAAAAATATAAGATTAGTCATTGTATAATTTTCACTTGCAATAGTATAATTGTCACTTGTAATATTTATATTAATATTCTAAACTTATAGACTAGCATATTGTGAAGGACTTTGTCTCGACCAAAGTACAATTTTAGATCAACTAAAAAAATAAAATTAATTAATATTTAAATTTTATATTCTTTATTTTCAAAATGAAAGTTGGAATTGAACTATAGTCACTTATATTTGTTATTTTCAATAACATTGTACAAAAATAACGCACATATAATTAAGATATGTTAATAGCATTTCATAAGAGATCGATGCAACAATTTTTAGGTGATGAATATAACTTGGAAATAATTCCACTACTTGTACTTGGTTATATATAAGATATGCAACAATGTATCAGCTTTTTTCTGAGAAACGAGGGCTCTTCACTTGAACAAATTTAACGATAGCCAAAGCAGTAAAAGAAAATATTATCAAATATTGTTGCATTGGGTAGCAATGACTTTTCTAATCACCTCCTCTTTTTTTTTTTTTTTTTTTTTTTTTTTTTCATCTTGTTAGTACAAGAAATGATAATAAAAGAAAAGCAAAGAATTTGAGGACTGATTAAGCATACCGTAATATATTTGTATCCATATCTTTGGCACCACTTTTTCAATCGAGGGCAATAAGCAATCTGCAAAACACTAGGCATGGATGAAAGCTTTTCTTCCAAAGTGAGTTCAAGTTCCCAGCAGCTTTTTAGCTTCAATTCCTCAAGTGAACGAAGCTTTTGCAGGCCTGGTATTGATGTCAACTTCCGGCAACTTTCGAAACATACAAATTGCAACTTAGAAGGAAGTATCTCCTCCGCAGAGATCAAGAGATTATCACACCACTTTATTTCTAACTTTTCAAGTCTATGCAAACTACATAGCCCATGCAATGATGTTATTTTTGGACATCGTCGAATAAGTAGTCTTCTAAGTGAGGATGGCTGCACTATTTTTATATTTTTTAACATAGCACAACCAATGATGGAAATGCTTTGAAGACATGGGAGATCTCTATCCAGCACTCTACCTGATCCATCCCATTTATCACATCCTTCAAGGGTTATATCTTGTAACTTAGAGTACGAGGGATCACCAAGCCATGACGGGAATAGTATCCCTGAGTAATTATGTATCTTTAATTCTTTGAGGTAGTTGTGAGGCCGCAATGCCTCAAGTTTCAACTCTTCCAACTCAAAACTTTTTTTCTTTACTTGTTCCTTTGCATCAAAATATATGTTAACATCAAATACAGAAGCATCATCAAAACCTATTCTACTATCCCAATCTATGAGTAAACTCTTAATATGCTTCTTCCCATTAATATTTGCCTTCTTGAAATCCTCAACATTATTTGCATAACCTATATTTCTGATGCAACAAATCCCTGTAAGGCTTGCTAAGTCTTCTATCTCACCTAGTCCACCACCTTCATGATTTTCATCCTTCACAACTACAAATTTTAATGTCTGGAGACAAGTTAACTTGCTTATCCCACATGGCATGACAGAATCCCATGGTAGAATCAAATGTCGAAGGTTGATAAGATTTTTTATGCTTGTTGGTAAGATTATAGGATCATGATAGCGACAGAAGTCCAACACTTGCACATTACGAATACTATGTAATGAATTGAATAAGCTTGAAAGAGCAACTTTGTCCCAATGAAGATCCCTTAAAATTATATTATGAAAGCAAAGATAGCGTAAATGCTTCATTGAGGCAATTGAACCAAGAAACTTTGAGGTGTTTGAATCAAATTGATCGATTTCAATATGCAGTGCTCGCAAGCGTGTTGAATCCAAAAGCTGAAATTCATTGATTATCCTCCAGCCATAACAAAATATAGAATGAAGAGAAACATGCATGTTAAGAAATGGGAACACAAAAGAGCCTTTTAGTGCTTCATTATATGTTGCCTCATTATGTATAGCTAAGTGGCGAGCTTTATTTGATATGCATATATTTTGGTTGCAACCCTTTGATTTCATGATGATGAAATCATTGTCAGAAATAGAAACTGCCAAATCATAAATCAAGTCATGCATCTTAAAATAGTTTGTAGATTCTGTTGCTTGAAAGAACGATCTCCCCAAGAGTTCATCAAAATACTCTCTACCAATCTCCTCCATAGTCTTGCATCTTATTTTTGGTTGGATATAGCCCTGCGCAATCCACAACCATACAAGGCGATTTTTATCAGGAATATGCTTTTTAGGAAATAAAGAACAATACCTAAAGCATGGCTTCAAGTGAATTGGCATCCTTTGATAACTCAGTTTAAGAGCAGGAAAAATTTCATTTGTCCCTGGATCCAAGTCCCAAAGCTCGCTTTCTAAGATGCTCATCCACTTATCTTCATCTCTTTCAAATTGAAGATGGCTTCCAAGTAGTTTTATAGCCAAAGGTAATCCACCACATTTGTTTACAATTTTTTGGCCAATCCTCATCAGGTTCTCATCACCACATAAAGCATATTGATTGAACAATCGCCAACATTCATCTTCGGAAAGAAAGCCCAAATGAAAGTAGTTCATAGTCCGCATGACATCTGCAACCTTTTCATTTCGTGTTGTCAACAAAATATTCACAACACCTGCATTGTGAAATGGGACTTTTAGGGACTCCCAGAGAAATTGCTTCTCATTCCACACATCATCCAACACCAAAAACGTTCTTTTAAATTTCATAAGTTCTTTTTTAATGGAATCTTGAAGATAATCAAATCCAACATGCTCCTCACATGATTTGTTAGTTATAGATCTATATATCTCTTTGGTTAATTTCACAAGATCAAAAACCTCAGAAACATAGATCCATATACGTAGATCAAAATATTGACGAATTCTAGGATCATTATAAATGAGTTGGGCCAACGTTGTCTTCCCCACACCCCCCATGCCAACTATTGGGATGACTGTAATTTTATTGCTCACTTGTACGTCTGAGAGCAATAACTTCACTATCTTCTCTTTCTCACTCTCTCTCCCGATTATAATTGATTCATCGACGAGAGAGCTGGTAAGCCGATAATTTTGTGCACTAACAGTTCGCCTCACGCCATCGTCCTCTCTTAAACGAAGTCCCTTTCGATCCCTTTCAATCTCATCGAATCTTTCCCGAATCTCCCTTAGCTTCTCAAGCATGACATCAGAAATTGATGGAACTTGATAAGATGAGGATGTTAATGTATTAAGACCTTCTACATGCGCACTCTGACCATAACGTTCATCATCGCCTCGCTTGCGCTTGACATGGTGGTAGGACTCTTCTGCAGCTCTAGCTTCCATCTGGGCTGCCTGGACATCATACTCATACTCATCGATTACATCATCAATGTCATAAGCCAAGCACCTGAGCTCTGAAAGACGTAACTTAACAGATCTGTCTTGTATCTCCCTTTCCTCTGCATCTTCAAGCACTGCTTTGATCCTCGGCAGCATTCTCATTATCCTCTGGAACTCATCTAAAGCATTGCCTCCTCGTGTAGGTTCCGCTGATGAAGATGAAGATGAAGATGAAGACCCATCTAAAAGAGCCGACAACCCTGACTTCGCCCATCTGCCGAACATGGCAATAATATCTGCCATGGCTTCGTCCAAAGATTAGAATCAAATATCCCTATCATGCATCATTAAATCGTATGGTAAGATATAATCTTCCATTATTTTAGAAGGAGAGTTGCGAGAGATTCATGAAATAAAAATTGTTTAAAAACAATTTAAAATCACAAATGAGTATTGAAGTCCAAAAACAATCAAATCACAATTCATACTCACAGTAGCACAGAAGAACTAGAATATGAGAACAAAAGTACAACTTAACGCCAAGCTGAAAGAACTAATTACTTCTATGGAGAAGGAGCAATAAATAAATAATTAAGCAGGGAAAGCAGCTCATCAAAGCTCCAAATTTCTCAAGTATTTGATCTGATGAGGTCTGTGCAGACAGTCTAAAAGATCAAAATTAGATGATGATGATAAAATTTCAGAGGTGAAGGAACTTACCTTTGTCTCTGTCAAGAACGACTCAATCAATAATTGAAGAGGAAAGGCAGCTCTTTCTTACAAGCTCAAATTATCTTAGGCATTTGATCCAAAATGTATTTTGTGCCTTTGCTTTCATGAAGTAAAAGCAGGAAAAGGACAGTGAAAGCAGTGGAAGAAGGATAATATTCAGTGGGTTTGATATAAATACTAAAAAAATGTAGAGAGAAAAATTATGAGAATATTCTCTCATTATTTTCTCTTTTTTTATCATTTAATTAAGTAGAGAGTGAGGGTTTATTTTTAATTTTATAATTTTTAAATATGAGGGAGATATTTTTTGAGATTTTACCTCCCACTCTCTACTTAATTAATTGAGCCCACCCTCAAAATTTACTTTTACATATGAATGGGATAATTTTTTTATTTTGTTTTACATGTTTTTTTTATTTTTATTTTTTACGTGTAATTATTTGTGTAATAAATTTATCCACCCTAAAAAATACTAGTTTGCTATGATGCGTCAATATGCACATTTGATATAGATATAATTTAGGATAAATTTAATTAGTACTTAATTCTAACTTGTTTTGAGTCTTTTTCTAAGTTTTTTTTCGGGAAAGCTCTTTCCAAGTCCAATAAGGCGGCTTTGACTTATCTTCGTATATGAGTCTAATATTTTCTTTGGGAGATAATTTTTTTATTACTTTATTTTTTAAATTTTAATTATAATTTCTATTTTTATGTCATTTTTTTGTTGGTTTTAAGAGTTTTTTTATTGTAGAAATTTATTTTTTATAATAATTTCTAAAAATTTATGATGCAGAGCATGTTAGCTTAAAACATTCCTTAGACTATCTAATTTAGTTTGATACAAGTTGTTGCATATTTTCTAGAATATTCTAGGTTTCTCTAGATTTTTACTTGTTTATTATATATAGATTGTAAAAGATGAATGAAGGATATGATGAATATTATCTCTTTTTTGAACATTTAAGCTTGGTGTTATCTTTGTTTCCTGGATTGGGATTATCTTCCTTCAAGCATCATCTTCTTCCAATGATCAAATTTGCATTAGTTTGATATCAGAGCCCGGAGCTTGTGAAGAACGATGGACTGCAGAAGAAGATGGGTTGTCGACGACGATCGAAGCTGAAGAAGATGGGTGGTCGACGAAGATCGACGCCGAATAAGATGGGTGGTTGACGATGATCGACGCCGAAGAAGATAGGCAGTCGACGATGATCGACGCCGCGTAGCCCTTCAGACAGCTCAAGTGAATGCATCACTTGACCGAATGGATGCCAAATTTATATCTAAAAACGCACAAGACTTGGACTATTACAGGGGACAAGAACTTGAACTTGAATGAACTACAATAAACTTAACTTGAACTTTAACTCAAGTGAACAACAGGACCTTGCAAAAGTGAACATAATAATTTCAACAATCACTTGCACTTGAACAATATACATGGGACAAGACATGAACTTAACAAGACAGCAGAGGACTTGAATGAAGTACAAAAAGATTTGAACTTGAAGAGACCACAAGGAATTGGACTTTAACTTAGCAAACACACAATTACATCAATACAAATGTTAATTAAAGACCTAAATCATTCTAATGAGCATCAACAATCAAATAAAGGACTTGTGGGCTTCAACATAATTGGCTTAAAATGATTGTATTCAAATGAACTTCATGCAAGCAAATACTACTTAAAGTGAGTGCAAGGACTTGTGATAGAAGGATTTGTTAGATTAAATAGATTTGCAAAATAAGTGAGCATGAAAAAATGTAGTGGCGTCCCTATCACCAACAAGAATTCAACTCAAAGAAGATACAACAATGAAGAAGGAATGAATTTTAAATGAATACATTAATCTACCAAAGAAACATCAAGTTCAAAATTACATATAATCCTTTTGTACTTAATGACAATCGACATGCAAGCAAGCCTATTAACCCCTTTATAGACAAAGGAAGTCAATTCACAATGAACATAATAATTTAATACATTCAATGAAATTTAAAGTATGTGAAGCTTGCATACGGCCAATGCCATTCAGCTCCAAACAAGCATGCTAGCCTTCCCCGCAAATAATGATACTCTCTTATTCTACATACAACACCGATCAACTTGCATAAGGAATTTGATGACAGATGTAGTCACTCATCAGTCAATATGAAAGGAGGAATCAACAATGAATGCAACTCACCCGGCGATTAGAGTTAATATAAAGATGAACACGCACATTCACTTGCAGACAATAACAATGACAATTATCCTATGAATACACTCAAGGAGATTGAATGAAAGGCATTTAGCAAATAAAACAACTGCTTTGCAACACTACTTTGTGAATAACAAAGCTGAAGTTGATGATAGTCAGCACAACAATCATGCAAGAAGATGTAACAACCTCTACTACATCCACCTAAGAGCACTAACAAAGGGATATATATGGCAAAAGACACTACAACTTGCCCATAAGTGGCTATAAAAGATCCATCACGCATAATACATATAATAGATCTATGAATAGCAAATGAATATGCCACGTTCAAGCAACGATTGTAGGGAAGTTGCCAATATGGTGTCAACATACAATGAGCATAGTCAGTTGCTGGTGAATGCATGTGGGGTACGTCAGCAATGAATATAACTCACCTAGCAGTCATCATCAACTTGTAAATGAACACTGCCTACAGTTGATAATATTCTATATAGATGAATACATAAGTATACAATAATTGTTGTAATATTCCTACAACATGCAGTAGTACAGCATCCAATGAATATACCTATCCCCTACAAGGAGAGGGAATTGGATATGTAACAAGTGCAATGAAAGGATACAAGCATACAAATTCCTATGAACCGCTATAGAAGACCCGTTGTACACTCAATCTATTGTCCAAAAGCAAAATGCAAAGTTAATACATCAAATGTGAATTCCCACGAGTCGGTGTAGAAGACCTGTTGTACACCTAATCTATTGTCCATAAGCAAAATACCAAGCGAATACATCAAATATGAACTCCTATGAGCTGTTGTAGAAGACCTACTTTATACATAAAATGTCATCTCGAGCAAAATTCTAAAGGATTGCAGTAAAGCAAATCCCTATGAGCCATCGTAGAAGATTCGTTGTACGCCCGATGTGTCAACCACAAGCAAAATGCAGAATAATAACTACAAATACAAATGCTGGTAGCTGGTGCTAGAAAATTTGTATGCAAAGTAATGACCACAAACAAAGGCATCATGTGAATGTAGTTGTCTACAGATAACTAGTAGGAGACTCGTTAGAGCATAATAATTTACCTACGAAAAGTAACAAGTAGTACATGACAATCTACCTGTATGAAATGGGTAAATGACTGTAGCGTTATGCAATACCACCGGATCCGTAACCTATATATAAGCAGACAGAAGGCGCCTACAAGCTCTCAAACGGGATGCTGCGTACAATCAAATGATAATTACCTACATAACTAATCGATGTTGAATATTATAAAAATGTCTCCCACATGCACTATAACTTGTATACACAAATACCAAGAAATATATGTTTAATCATACACCGGCATGAAGTATTCACACACGTGATATCTAGCGATGATGCCTAGGTCAATAAATAAATTTAATTTTGAATTTGATCCTCCTATATGAGTAATAGGAATCGACATAGTTCAAACCATTAAAAGAATGTACAGTCACGACATCGACCGAGACATTTATTTTATATGTTTATATTAGGCCTTCGAGGCTTATGAACAAAGAAATTCATCACAAAAATATAAAGCCAATGAATCCAATCCTCTATCGTCAAGCTGATAGAGTTGACAATATTTTGTTAATAGAAGTCTCAAATGCTCGTTCACCCTGATGATGGTTGTGTTGAATGTAGATCTCAATTTGAGGGGTTAATTTCAAATACTTCAAAATAACTCGTAAATACCCACAAAATATAAAACTCCAAAAATCCCAAAAAAAAAATCCTAAATATTTAAAATTGAAATTCAACCATTAAACACTTAAAGTAAAATCCATCCATCATATGTAATAGTTTACCGAGGTAGACAATTTTAAAACTACTTCAGCTCATAAAAAGCTATTATCTGGTTGAGAATATCACAAGGATTCTTTCTCAAATAGTCTCTTGCTAGTAAGGACATGGCATGTGTCCTCTAACCGGTGATTTTGTAATCAAATTGCATCGCATGTAAACGATTATGACATGGGCCCTCTGAACATGGTGGTTTGCTGTCAAGTGGCACATCAAATTACAGTTATGGACAGACCCCATATGCTCTCCAATGGCATTAAATCCTTGAGGTATGAATCAATAAAATATAATCGATATGGCACAAAGCCCTCTGTTAGTTAAGATTGATTCAAATTTGTCCCCTTAGACAAATACCCATCCCAGGTCTACAAGGTCCCCTTGGACGAAGTAACCCATGGCTGCCAACAAAGATCCTTCTGTCAGGTTGAGTTGACTACCTACTCTGACTAAGTAGACCAAGGATCACGATGGTCCGAGACGATGAAATCATGGGATCTTGATTGGGTTCATCATCCATTCCCTCACTATCTGTTTCAAGTGCAAGATGGTGAAAATTTATATTTTAAATATGAAACTCTCAATACAAAAACCCATGCTACTACTATATGTCAGATGACACGTGTTTTTATGTATATGATTAATGACTAGCCTTAATCGAAAGTTCTCTCTCATTATCGGGAGGGATAATTAACTATAGGGGCTTACGCCTATAGGAAACCAAAACTCAGATCATATAGTCCTCACAAAGTGAGGGCGAAATCTCTGAGTAGTGTCTTATCTACAATCCCAATCTGCCTTATCAAAATTTACCCCGAAACTTAATATGTTAAAACTCTCCCGAAATGCATTGGGTCGCCAATTTTCGGAGCCCACAAATATTATAAGTCATTAGCAAAAATCTGAATATTATAAAAAATATAAGAAAATAGTGTAGAACAAAAATAAAATAAAATTAGTGTTAAGTAGTTATTTAATTATTTTAGAAAAAAAATTTAAAATTTTGTAAATTTTTAATTCAAAAATACTTCTTGACCTTCGTTCCCTATCAAGATTATTTTAGATAATGTATCTTTCTATTAGTTTGTTATTTATAAAACTTATAATTTTTTGTTATGTTAGAAAAATATATATAATTTTTAAAAGTTTAAATAAATCAAAGAAGATGAATAAAAAAAATCAATGAATCAAAGAGGTAAATTCCAACTATTTGAAGCCAAATGTTCTGATTCCAATTTAATTTAGCTTTTTTTTTTTCTTTTTGCATCCAATCATATTAAAAAGAAATAATAGATACAATTTACTCACAGATTTTGTGGTTCTACAAAAAAGAAATAATCAATAGATAAGAGTTATTAATTACAACAATATTTCTTATATCACATAAAATGATATAACAAGAAAGAAAATCCTAAACTCTGAAAAACAAACTGGAATGCACCCCAAGCTAACTTTCATTACAGGAAGCCATATATACATCCACGTTGAAGCAAGCTCTGATTTGTCTTGCAAAGCAAAGCTGAGATTTAATTTGGTGAGCTCTGTACTGTTAGTTACAAACTCAGCCTTACTTGCTATTATATGTAGGCAACATCTTGGTTTTGGCACCATTCTCGTAGTTGTGGGCATGCACTGATTTCGACATTGTTGGGATTCAACATATCTGGAAGCAATTCATTATAGAGACGAAGTTGAGGACAGTTGCTTATTTTTAAGAAATGGAGGAAGACTTGGACTTGCAGTCCTGTTAAAAGTTTCAGAGTTGAGCAGAAAGAAATCTCAAGTGAAGATAGATTCATTTCCCTACAGTTCAAAAAGTTAAGCTTATTGCATCTATCAATGGTCAACGATTGAAGGCCATTGGGAAACCGTCCAAGAAAAACGAGGTTTGGACAGCTGCTTATATTCACGTCTTGCAGAGTGGTGACCCTTTCTAGCGCAAAAAGCTCTTTCAGATGGGAGCAATCCCATATCCTTAGTTGCTTTAGACTAATGAAATTTTTCCTCAATGAGATAGACTTCAAATGAACACAGGAGCAAATGTACAAGCCCAAGAGTCGAAAAGCGGGCCATTTATCTGTTTCAAGAATAGCCTCATCGTAGTCCAAAACACATATGTTTTCAAAGAATGTATATTTTTCCTCAAGCCATAGCTTGATCTGCTCACTGCTCCTAACAAATAGTTCTTTGTGTGATTCCTGGTTCAGAATTAAAATGGATCAGTAACAAAAATTTGGCAAAGTAAGAAACCACACTATTCAGAGAGAACCTAAAGCAGTTGTAATAACTTTCTCACCTTATTATTATAAGGTATGTTATATCTTTGACACCAGTCTATGAGCTTTGGGCTGTTAAAAAGTTCTAGTTGAACTTGAAGCGTGAAGGGAAGTTGATCTGGTGGTGGGAGCAGAAGCTCGGGACACTCAAATATTCTTAGGTTTCTAAGGGAGAAAAGTTGTTCCAGCCCAGGCAAGCACAAGATCTTGGGGCAGTTGCTTATGAGCAAGAAGTGAAGTTTGCATGGCAAATTGTGGTCTAGCGATAGTGAGAATTGAGGACATTCGATTATTTCTAATTTTTCAAGGGATTCCATCATCTTTAATCCAGGCAGACATGTCAGAGCCGTGCAATGCCATATTTTCAACAGCCTCAGTGCAGGAAAATTTAGGTACGGAGGAAAGAACATCAGACGTTGACATGAATTAAGATGCAATGTTTGCAGACTGCACAGAATCCAGCGCGTCGCTTCCAGGGGACGCCCTAGCATTAACACAATTTCTTAAAGGATTCATGTCATTATTGTTCGACAAGTTTTACGCTGGCTGTCGACTACCTAACGCAACCCTCCCTTGCCTATTTTAGTTTCATCAGACTCGAGTATATGCAAACTTTTTAAGGAGACGAGATTCTTTGAGCCATAATAATATATTAAATGGCTGGTGTCTCGTATGGTCAACTCCTCCATCTTAGATAATTCCTGTTGTAGTGAAACAAAGACAGAGATCCTCATTTAAAATAAAAGAAACAAAAAAAATCAATGATTTTATGAATAGATGATGTCCATGGATAAAAAAAGATTTGTGCCAAAAATAAAAGTCACGCAATATGTGGTTGGAATGAAGCTTACCTGAATAGTACTTTTGAATCCATATCTTTGGCACCACTCTTCTAATCCAGGGCAATCAACAATCTCCAAAACACTAGGCGTGGTTGAAAGTTGTTCATCTAAAGGGAGTCTAAGTTTCAAACATCTTCGTAGCTTCAATTTCTCAAGTGAATGAAGGTTTTGCATGCCTGTTAATGATGTCAAATTCCAACAATCTTCAAACCATACAAGTTGCAACTTGGAAGGAAGTCTCTCCTCCACAGAGATCAAAAGGTTATAACACTTCATTATTTCTAACTTTTCCAGTGTATGCAAACTGCATAGCCCATGCAATGTTCTTATTTCAGGGCATTGTTTGACGAGTAGTCTTTTAAGTGATGATGATTGTACTATTTTTATATATTTTAACTTAGCACAATCAATGATGGAAATACTTCGAAGATATGGGAGACATCTATCCAACACACTACCTGATCCATCCCATTCATCACATCCTTGAAGGGTTATGTCTTGTAACTTACTGTATGAGGGATCACCAAGCCACAACGGGAACCGTATCCCAGGGTAATCATTTATCTCTAATTCTTTGAGGTTGTTGTGGGGCCGCAATGCATCAAGTTTCATCTTTTCCAATTCAAAACTTTGTTTCTCTATTGTAACCATTGCTTTAAAAGATATGTGAACATCAAATGAACCTTCAAAATAATCAATCATATCATGCCAATCTATGCGTAGTCTCCAAATGTGCTTCTTCCTATTAATATTTGCCTTCTTAAAATCCTCAAAATTATATGCATTAGCTATCAATTGGATACAAAAGCTCCCTGTAAGGTTGTCTAAGTCTTCTATCTCACCTAATCCACCACACTCCATCACTACAACATATTTTAAAGTCCGAAGACATGTTAACTTGCTTATCCCACATGGCATGATAGAACCATATGGTAGAATCAGATGTCGTAGATTGATGAGATTTTGTATGCTTGTTGGTAACATTATAGGTGGATAACAATCAAGAAAGTTTAGCACTTGCACATTCCGAAAGATATGTAATGAATTAAATAAGCTTGAAATAGCATCATTTCGAAAATGAGAACATCCTAAATAGCGTAAATGCTTCAAAGAGGCGATTGAGCTAGATATCGTTGACCAGCCAAGAGCTTGGATATGCACTGCTCGCAAGCGCATTGAATCTAAAAGTTGAAAATTATTAATTATAGACTCATCATAACAAAATATAGAACGAAGAGCAACATGCCTGCCAAGAAATGGGTACACTGAAGTGCCTTTTAGTACTTCTATTTTTGCTGATTGATCATATATAGCTAAGTGGCGAACATTATTTGATATGCATTTATTTTGGTTGCCACCCTCCAATTTCATTGTAATGAACTCATTGCCCGAAACAAAAACTGCCAGGTCAAAAATCAAGTCATGCATGTTAAAAGAGTCCTCAAATTTTCTTGCTTGAAAAAATGATCTCCCCAAGAGTTCATCAAAATACTCTCTGCCAATCTCCTCCATAGTCTTGCCTCTTCTTTTTTGCTGGATATAACCCTGTGCCATCCATAACCATACTAGGTGATTTTTATCAGGAATCCTTTTTTTAAGAAATATGGAACAGTACCTAAAGCATGGCTTTAGGTGAATCGGCAGTCTTTGATAACTCAGTTTAAGAGCAGGAAAAATTTCATTTTTCCCTGGATCCAAGTCCCAAAGCTCGCTTTCTAAGATGCTCATCCACGCCTCTTCATCTCTTTCAAATCGGAGATGGCTTCCAAGTAGTTTTATAGCCAAAGGTAATCCACCACATTTGTTTACAATTTTTTTGCCAATCCTCATCAGGTTCTCATCACCACATAAAGCATATTGATTGAACAATCGACAACCTTCATCTTTGCAAAGAAAGCCCAAACGAAAGTAGTTCATAGTCCGCATGACATCTGCAACCTTGTCATTTCGTGTTGTCAACAAAATATTCACAATGCCTGCATTGTGAAATGGGGCTTTTAGGGACTCCCAGATAAATTGATTCTCATTCCACATATCATCCAACACCAAAAACGTTCTTTTAAATTTCATCAACTCTTTTTTAATGGAATCTTGAAGATAATCAAATCCAACATGCTCCTCACATAATTTTTTAGTTATGGATCTATATATCTCTTTGGTTAATTTCACAAGATCAAAATCCTCAGAAACATAGATCCATATATGGAGATCAAAGTACTGACGAATTCTAGGATCATTATAAATGAGTTGGGCCAGCGTTGTCTTCCCTACACCCCCCATGCCAACTACTGGGATGACTACAATTTTATTGCTCACTTGTAAGTCTGAGAGCAATAACTTCACTATCTTCTCTTTCTCACTCTCTCTCCCGATTATATTTGATTCATCGACGAGAGAGCTGGTAAGCCGATAATTTTGTGCGCTAACAGTTCGCCTCATGCCATCGTCCTCTCTTAAACGGAGTCCCTTTCGATCCCTTTCAATCTCATCGAATCTTTCCCGAATCTCCCTTAGCTTCTCAACCATGCCATCAGAAATTGCTGGAACTTGATAAGATGAGGATGCTAATGTATTAAGACCTTCCACATGCTCACTCTGACCATAACGTTCATCATCGCCTCGCTTGTGCTTGCCATGGTGGTAGGACTCTTCTGCAGCTCTGGCTTCCATCTGGGCTGTCTGCACATCATACTCATACTCATCGATTACATCATCAATGTCATAAGCCAAGCACCTGAGCTCTGAAAGCCATAACTTCACAGATCTATCTTGTATCTCCCTTTCCTCTGTATCTTCAAGCACTGCTTCGATCCTCGGCAACATTCTCATTATCCTCTGGAAGTCATCTAAAGCATTGCCTCGTGTAGGTTCCACTGATGAAGATGAAGATCCATCTAAAAGAGTCGACAACCCTGACTTCGCCCATCTGCTAAACATAGCAATAATATCTGCCATGGCTTCGTCCAATGATTAGAGTTAAATATCCCTGCCATCATTAAATTATACATTAAGATATAATCTTCCATTATGTTGGAAGAAGAGTTGGGAGAGATTCAAGTTTAAAATACTTTTTGCCGCTAAAAGCAATAAATTGAATGCAAAGAGATAAGCTAAAGCTGATTCTGTAGATTCTCGTTGCTTTCTATGCATACAAAAAACAATATAAAATCACAAATAAGAATTGAAGGCCAAAACCAAATCAAATCACAAATCATACTCATAGCACAGAAGAACTATATGAGAACAAAATTACAACTTAACGCCAAGCTGAAAGAACTAATTAATTACTTCTATGGACAAGGAGCAATAAAAAATACTTTAGAACAGGGAAGGTAACTCTTCAAAGCTCCATTTTTCTCAAGTATTTGATCTGATGAGGTCTGTGCAGATAGTCTATAACACCAAAATTAGATGAGGATAAAATTGCAGAGGTGAAGGAGCTAATTACCGTTGTCTCTGTGAAGAACTACTCAATCAATAATTGAAGAGGAAAGGCAGCACTTTCTTAGAAGCTCAAATTATCTTAGGCATTTGATCTCTCACATGCATGATATGATTTTGCTTTCATAAAGTAAAAGCAGGAAAAGGAAAGCGAAAGATAATTTGAGAATATTTTCCAATTACTTTCTCTTTTTTATCACTTAATTAAGTAGAGATTGGGAGTTCATTTTTAATTTTATAATTTTTATATATGATGGAGATAATTTTTTAGATTTACGCCCGCACTCTCTACTTAATTAGGTGAGCTTGCCCTCAAAATTTATTTTTACATATGAATGGGATAATTTTGAGAGTTAATTTTACATATTTTTAATTTTTTATATGTAATTATTTATGTAATAAATTTATTCACCCTCAAAAATATAATTGGTTCTGCCCTAGACTTGAAAGTCACTATTATAATGCCTTGGCTCCTCCTCTGGAGATCCAGATCTTCAACATGGAGGAGTTTATTTTTTGTTTCATAATCAACTAAATATTTTTTAAAAAATATTATTAAATATATCTTGCAACAAATCAACTAATTCAAATTATAATTTATTCTAAATTCTTAAAGTTCATACATTTTTAAAACTTTCCAAGTACTTGGGCCAGTTGGATGCCATTAGAGACCATTTTCCACCCCCACTAAAACTTGTCCCTGCTTTTCTCCTTTTAGAGACCCTTTCCCCACCACTAAAACTTGTCCCTGCTTTTAGTCATACATGGGAAGATAAAACTGCTAAAGTTAGTCCGTCTGATCTGGCAATGAAAAACCTATTTAAAATAGTTGATCATCATATTTGATTTATATTCAGCTTGTTTTATCTTTTTGACCTTTAAATAAATGACCTTTATGAAGTTATTAGTGAGCTTTATTTTTTTATATCATTTGCTTAACATATGAGTTTTATTGAACCTACTAATAAATAATTATTATAGACCCTATTTGCAAGTATATCCAATTAGTATTTTCAAGCTATCAAATGAGCCCGTTCATAAACATAGCTAACAAGTATTTTTGAATTGTCAAATAAGCCCGTTTACGAACAAACAAGCTCAAAAGAATTCTCCTAAAACACTAACGTCACTCTATTTTTAGGTTGTCCTAAGCAAGTATGCAAATATATGTATCATACCTATTTTGGTTCTACGAAAAATTAGAAAAGTTTAATGTGTATAAATCATGAGGTTTCAAATTTCAGTCAATATTTTGGTGTTAATTGTTCAATTCTCTAACTAAAGGTATTAGTTTCGGTTCTAATCAAAGTTATAATCATGTGACTTCTATTTTAAATTTTAGGGTTTGAGTTTATAGTTAATGATTTAATATTTATAATATAATGAGAAATAAAGCAGTTATAATCTAATGAGAAATAAAGCACAACACAACATACAAAAAAATAAAATACAAGTAAGTTACATACAAATAAAGTATAAATATCATAATCTAAAATGTTTAAGACTGATGGTCTATATGATGTCTAGTGTGTTCTTGGGTGTGTGGGTGATCAACTTTACTATTAGTTTGTAGGTTTTAATTTCAATTTTAATTGTATTTTTTTATATGGGGATACTTTAGATTCAAATATTAGCCTTTTGTCATCTTTTATTCGGCTTTTAAATGACTTATAAAGAAAATTTATTTTTTGAATTAGTTTTGCTCTAGTCAATGTAGGCTATTGTGCCATCCACAACCACACTACGTGATTCATGTCAAGCGTCTCATTTTTAAGAAACATGGAGCAATACCAAAAGCATGATTTTAAGTGAATCAGCATGCATTGATAACTCAATCTAAGAGCTAGTAAAATTTCATTTGCCCCTACTTGATCCAATTCCCAAATCTCACTTTCTAAGATTCCATCCACGTATCTTCATCTCTTTCATATAAAAGATGGCTTCCAAGTAATTTTATAGCCAAAGGTAATCCATCACGCTTCTTTAGAATTCTCTGAGCAATCTTCTACAGGTTCTCATCATCATATGAAGCATGATGCTGGAATAATTCCCAACCCTCATCTTTTGAAAGCATAGCCAAATGAATGGAATTCATAGTTCGCATTACTTCTGCAAGATTTTCATTTCGTGTTACCAGCAAAATATTCACAATACATGCAAAGGGCACTATGAAGGAGTCTCATTGACAATGCTTCTCATTTCAAGCATCATCCAATACCATAAATGTCCTTTTAAATTTCATGAGTTCTTTCTTTATAGTATCTTGAAGATAGTCAAATCCAACATTCTCATCACATGGTTCGTTAGTTAAGGATCTATAAATCTCTCTGGTTAATTTAACACGATCAAAATCCTAAGAAATATAGATCCATAATCGGAGATGAAAATACTAATGATTACTAGGATCATTATAGATGAGTTGTGCTAGCATTGTCGTGCCCACTCCCCCCATGCCGAATATTGGAATGACTGCAATTTTATTGCTAACTCGGCTATTACTACCAGTCTCCAATTCTGAGAGCAATAGCTTCACTATCTTCTCTTTCTCATTTTATGTCACAATTATACTCGATACATCTACAAGAGAACTGGTAAGCCAAGGATTTTGTGCACTAACAGTTCGCCTCACCCCATCTTCCTCTCTTAAATGGAGTGTTTCTCGATCCTTTTCAATCTCATCCAATCTTTCTCCCTTAACTTCTCAGCCATACCATAAAAAACTGTTGGAACTTGTGATGAAAATGCTAATATATTACGACCCTCCCTCTTCTCGCCCTCATCATGATGTTCATCATCGCCCTCCTTGCCCTTACCACGGTGGTAGGACTCTTCTACAGCTCCGTCTTTCATCTGGGCTATCAACACATCATACTCATGCTCATTGATTACATCATCAATGTCATAAGCCAAGAGCCTGCGCTCTGAAAGCCATAAATTCACAGATTTGTCTTGTATATCCCTTTCCTCTGCATCTTCAAGCATAGCTTGGATCCTCGGTAGCCTCGCATTATCCTCTAAAAGTCATCTAATGCACTGTGTCGTGCAAGTTCTATTGATGAAGATGAACACCAATCCAAAGAAGAGGACATCAAGCCTCTCTCCGGAGACAGTTGTTGACCTCTAAAATTAACTTAAAAGAAACATATAATAAAAAAGGGCTTGAATCATTACACCATTCCTCAAATCTTGTACCAAATCTCTGCTAAAATCTGCAAAAGGCGTCTAAAATTAACTCTTACATGTTTTCCACGAAATGATACTGCCTCGTCGTTAAAAGGGAGATGAACAAGACCTCTCAGTTCTTCTTCTCCTCCATCCACGTGACCCTACCGAACTCAGCTAAAGCCATCCGACCTCTCAACAAATCATTAACAAACACAAATGGGGGAAATGTAGTGAACACAACTCACCCATGGATCTATCATGCAAGTAGATGTATCTATCTCCTTCAAGAAGAAGAACTAGATATGCAGCGAACACAACAACCTTCTTGCAAACAGAGATCAAATTAAAATGATAACAACGTGCTTACAATCAATCAATAACATAGAGTTCTCAAGAAATTTTGGGAGATCTTCAATCTAATCAAAATGCAAAGGAGTGTGAATGGCACTTAGTAGATGAAACAATTGTTTTATAACACTCCATCAATCTACATCAATATGCAAACAAGCACATTAATCTGCATGCAAGCAAGGACAGAAGATCTGCAGTACTTACAATATCTCTACGAATACAAATGTATATGCAACATACCCCCAATGGGTAGATACAAAAAGACTTCAGTAAATGCAGTATCATGTAGTAAACCTCAGTCTGCAAATGAATACATTTATCTGCAGCAGTAGTGGATATGTTGTAAGGACCAAAATCACAATGAAATGTACAAAGAATGCAGTGAACGCAAGTTCATACGAGCTTCTACAAAAGCAGGAGATTCGTTAGTGCACTATGATCCACCTGCAATAATCAACAAGTAGTGCACAACAGTCTACCTGAATAAAATAGCAAATAACTCAATTCAGAAACTGGTACAACACACCACCGTATCCGTAACATCCATGCAAACAGACAGAAGACATTTACAAATATTTCAAAGTACCCCTGCACATTCACTGTAATATGTATGCACATAGAAACACTAAATGGGTAAACCCGCATGGGCCCCGGCAAGCGTGTTATTGATACACACGTGACATCTAAGGATTTTGTGCAGGTCAATAAATTTGAACCCGGTCCTCCTAAGCGGGTAAATAGGAGTCGACAAGGTTCATCAAATAATTATAAAATGCCGCCAAACACCGGCATGGGCCTTAGCAAGCGTGTATGGGTATACACGTGACATCAAGGGATGCTGCGCGACCTAAATGATGAATCTAGGTTCGAACCCGATCCTGTCCAACATGGTTCGAACCACTAAATAAATATGCGGTCATGAGGTCGACCGGGATATTTATTTTATAGAATCATATTAGGCCTTCAATAAAGAAAATTCACCAATAAAGACACAAAGCCTACGAAACCTAATCCTCTATTGATAACTCGATAGAGTAGACAATGTTCAATCCACAAATGAAAATGACCCTCAAAGTCACCCCGATGATAGTCGTGTTGAATGCAGATCTCAACCGGAGGGGTTAACTTTAACCATTTCAAAATGCCCTCAAACTTCTACAAAATTCAAATATCTTCAAGTGGCCTTAAAGACACCCCGATGATAGCTGTTGAATGTAGATCTCAACCGGATGGGTTAACTTCAAATAACCAAAATGCCACCCAAACTCTCATAAATATCCAAAATTAAAAACATTTAAATTTGAAATAAATCCATCAACACTTAAAGTAAAATACATCCACCATCTGTAACAGTTTATCGATGTGGACAAATTCGAATATAACTTCAACTCAAATAGAGTTAATGCCTAATTAAAAATATCACTATGATACATTCTCAAATAATCTCCTGCTAGAATGGACGTGATACGTGTCCTCTAACCGGCGATTTTGCCGCTAAATGGCACTACATGATAAATGGTTATGACTCGGACCCCTCTAAACCGAGTGGTTTTGCCGCCAAATGGCACCACAAGATAGCGATTATGGCCAGAGCCAATACATTCCTTAGTG